GGAAGGTTTCTATGTAAGATATCATGTTGAATGGAAGGTTTCTATGTAAGATATCATGTTGAATGGAAGGTTTCTATGTAAGATATCATGTTGAATGGAAGGTTTCTATGTAAGATATCATGTCGAATGGAAGGTTTCTATGTAAGATATCATGTTGAATGGAAGGTTTCTATGTAATATATCATGTTGAATGGAAGGTTTCTATGTAAGATATCATGTTGAATGGAAGGTTTCTATGTAAGATATCATGTAGAATAAAAGGTTTCTATGTAAGATATCATGTCGAATGGAAGGTTTCTATGTAATATATCATGTTGAATGGAAGGTTTCTATGTAATATATCATGTTGAATGGAAGGTTTCTATGTAAGATATCATGTTGAATGGCAGGACAACTTGAAATCAAATCTAGAGCTGGAACTATATCAGTCTAATTGATGATGTTATAAACTAAATATTGTATTATGGATTAAACCCAGAATGTCTTCAATTCAGAAGAAACAACCAATAGCAGCGTACCTTCACTTAATGCCTTAAGTTCACCAACAGGTAGTCTTTCTATTCAAATTTATTTTGGGGACCACTGTATTTTACGTAAAATTTCGCCTTTCATAGGCAAAAAAAAATTCTTTTGAATTGTTATAAACTATGATTCCTAATTCGGTCTTAATACAAAAAATATTTTTTGTGAAAATTGATCAAAAAGGGGCAACAGATTGTTTTAGTCTAACAGCCGGATCCTGCAGATGGCTTCTTAATATCAAATTTGAAAAAAAAAAATCTTTTGTTTTACCCTTTATTTTACCATTGTTAAAATAACTGTGATTAACGGTATGTTGGATGGTTATGAGGTTGAAATCTATTGTTTGAGTTGAAAACAGCAGTTTGTGTAAATATTCGCTCTAGTTAACGTTTGATAATTAGTAGACTGAATCCCATTGTTTGCAACTTAATACAAATAATATGTTTTAAGTTAAAAAATGCATAAAATAATGCAATTAAAACCAAACAATCCTTTCCTAACTGATAGAAGGCGTCGCAAAAATTGAACACATGGTTTCTGCCAATGTATATATACTTAAGGTTAAACTCGTTTAAGGTAAATAAAATTAGAAAAATATTTCTTGGTTTTTTTTATATTTTTTGGGTTGCATTTAGACTTCGGAGATTTATTGCAACAAAACGCTGGACATTTTTGACATTCTATGATGTTATTGAAATTTTCTGAAACTTTTTTTTCGAACTGTGACTTAAAGTAATAAAAAGAAATGGTTTTTTACCCCCTTTTAATATCATAATTTGGCGATCGGTCTCTTTCGACAACTTGTTTATACTCTTATACAGTATACAGTCTACAAACATTATATGAAGAACTTTAATAAGAAAACTGACCTCTTTTGAACCTAGAAAGCACTAATCTCCTCCCTCCCCCCTTTTTCATGAAATCTCTTCTCTCAACCCTCTCTCCCTCCCACCTCCACCCCCTTCTCATCCTCTCTTTACGTTGATTGATTCTCTACAAGAACCATATTAAAACCCTAATGAAACAATCCCCAAAAAAGCCGAAGAACCAGGTTTGAAAATCTGCCTGTTTTTGCCTGTGCTTAAGCTGGAGAAAAAGTGTGAACAGTGAAACTAGGGTTTCCATATACCGGGTTGTATTTAACAACATCGACGTGAATAAATCTGATTCCAGAAAAATTTTTCATAATATTTAGGGGAAATTTATCATTATTTTTAAGTTGAAAAAATTTTCTTTTATTTTTATGTATCAAGATTTTCAGTTGTATGGTTGGTATACAAATTCTTATTGAGTTGAAAGGAAAAAAGATTCTCAGGATGAGTTTTTGAAGATTTTAATTTTCAAACTTGTGCACAATATTATACTCAGATAAAGATGTGTAGAGTTGAGTTCTCATAAGTTCAGGATCAGGTAGGTTTAGCGGAGTAGGGTTTCAAATAATTCCCAAAAATATCTATCTATCTCAGGGTTCAAGAGAAACATGATACACTGGACTTCCGTGCATACAAACATACAAACAGTCACAAATACAGACAAACAGTCACAAATACAAACAAACAGTCACAAATACAAACAAACAGTCACAAATACAGACAAACAATCAAAAATACAGACAAACAGTCAAAAATACTGACAAACAGTAACAAACAGTCACAAACTTAGACAACTAATCACATACACTACAACTATGTTACAAAAACAGACAACTATGTTACAAAAACAGACAACTATGTTACAAAAACAGACAACTATGTTACAAAATCAGACTACTATGTTTTAAAAACAGACAACTATGTTACAAAAACATACAACTATGTTACAAAAACAGACAACTATGTTTCAAAAACAGACAACTAGTTACAAAAACAGACAACTATGTTACAAAATCAGACTACTATGTTTTAAAAACAGATAACTATGATACAAAAACACACAACTAAGTTACAAAAACAGACAACCAGTCACAGACACAGACATGCATTCACAAACACTGGCAAGCATGCAACTAGTCACACACACAAACAAATAGTCACAAACACAGACAAGCAGTCACAAACACAGACAATGCAGATAAAAGAAAATACAATGAGACAACCCGTATGTTGGGTTTTCAATTTCGTTTCTTTGTTATTCTTGTTTAAAGTAAAAACCTAAAGTCCCTAAATCTTTTAATCCTGTTCTCCTTCAAATTAAAATCCAACAGCGCAGCAGTAAGTTCTTGAATTTTCTCAGCATAATCTTTTTATTTGTGGATTTGAAATTTATGCCGAAAAAATACAATAAACAAATGAACACAAAGGAAATTATTTAACATAATAAACATGTTTTTCTTCAGATTTGACATGGATTTAATGTTGACAGTTTCAGAAATGTTTAGAATAACAACAGCATAAGTTGACAAACAAAGAAATTTTTAAACCCACTTACAAAATCACAAATCAACAAAGAAACGGAAAATTTAATGAAGCTACACCAAAAATATAAACAACAAATTATCTCCTTAAAGGGACTGAATAGGAAAAATGAAAGGGGTTATAGGCTGAAACCCAAGCAATTGTATAAATTTGACAAAGTTTTATATCAATTTCTCGAGACAGGAACATCAGATAGAACTCTCATGGGTCTTGATCAACTCCTAAAATGCTTGGGTTTCAGCCTATCCCCCCTTTCATTTTTCCTTTACAGTCCCTTTAACGGGACTTTAATAGGTGTATTTTCAAGTGACATTCAATGCAAGAGTCACAACTTTTCAATTCTTTGTCTAATCTAAAATGGTGATGTATCATCGTTTTTCTACCTAAAAATCAATCATTTCTAATTGTGATTTTTTAAAATGAACTTGCGCATTTTATGCGGCAGGGACAATGAACGTAATTTACAGAATTCAATACTTTATAAGATTCTTCCACATTATTGATCAGAACAAGTTTTAAAGGGTACCGTTGTGAATCATACCCTCTTATAGACGGAGAGTCACTTGAAACTACAACTGCAGTCTCTTCAACAAATAAGTAATAAACAATTAAATCCTCCGAATGAATAAGAAAAATCAATCATCAACATAACAAGCAAATGAACAAAGAAGAAATATTGATCAGGCCGCGACAAGAACTGTTATCTGCATGAAAGAGTTCTATTAAACCTAAATATAAAGGAGTTTGATGCAAAACAAGCTCAAGCATAATTGTATATATAAGAAGTGTTGATGAATCGGAGCAGACAACAATAAAATAATCATTAAACAGTTCTTAGGCATAGGAGTAGTCTTTCTTAACTCAACCCTATTCTAGTCTTTTATTTACAAATACCAAATGATAATGAAAGGTGGCAAAAAATGATTAAGCAGGCCGAAGGAGGACGAAGGAGGACGAAGGAGGACAAAGGAGGACGAAGGAGGACGAAGGAGGACGAAGGAGGACGAAGGTGAACGAAGGAGAACGAAGGAGGACGAAGGAGGACGAAGGAGACGAAGGAGGACGAAGGAGGACGAAGGAGGACGAAGGAGGACGAAGGAGGACGAAGGAGGACGAAGGAGGACGAAGGAGGACGAAGGAGGACGAATGAGGACGAAGGAGGACAAAGGACGGCGAAGGAGGACAAAGGAGGACGAATGAGGACGAAGGAGGACAAAGGACGACGAAGGACGACGAAGGAGGACGAAGGACGACGAAGGAGGACGAAGGACGACGAAGGAGGACGAAGGACGACGAAGGAGGACGAAGGAGGACGAAGGAGGATGAAGGCAGACGAAGGAGGGTTGAATATTCAAGGACAAATAAGAATGGAATAAAGGAAATGAAATGGAGAAGAATTAACTAAAAATGAAAAATAAAATAATTAAAAAGCGATTAAACCCAAGATTATAAAAACTAAGGATAAGGAGTGAGGATAAAAGAAGTAAATAATTAAATATAAAAATGTTAAAGAATGTGGGAATTAAATATAAAAGTGTTGAATGGATGAAGAAGAGTTAAATGGTTTAATGAGAATTCTCTACTGCCTATAAACTGTTTAATGGATTGAGTAAAGTCCTTATATATATGTATATTGAGAGGATCAGAGTGAGAACTAAACAATATCATGATGTATCTCTTAACTAGAATGTTTAACATGGTTCCTGGATTACCTTCTTAACTCCGGGCATCAGTGTTAAATCGTATTTGGAGATTTATATAAAAATGTAAATTGATCCAATGAAAAAGGTTTCAGGAAGCCGATATCCCAATAATATGTAAACCAAACCATGAAGATTCAATCCCTGGAGCAAACAGTATGTGACACGTCAAGGTTTGAGATTCTAAATCTTATATCTGTATCTGTATACTGTAGAAGCACTGGAGCTGTCAAGAAACCTAAACTCTGGTCGGATGAGCCGGGGATGATATGAGAGAGGCATGCAGATGTCTGAGGAGGGTATGTGTGGGGCGGGGCGCTCTTAGCTACGGAGTTACTCACATGTTGGTTTAGTTGTGAGTGAACCGTGCTCACGATACCACCTTGTGTACCGTTTAGATCTCCCACAGTGTTGCTTAGTTAGATTTAACTCCTAGTGATAAAATGTCGGACACACAGAGAATAATGTGAGTTTTTATTAATTATTATTACAGTGATTTAAACTACATCAGTTTACTATCCTGCTTGATTAATTCCTAATTAGAACACTTATTATGTAATTAAAAGCGTTGTTTACATTTTTTTAAAATTTAATAGAATCAATCATTAACTTGCTTGAAATTACGGGGATTTATTTATCCAATGTTCGATTAGGTTTAATTAGGTTGAGCTGAATATCTTGTATATTGAGTACTAGTATAGGAGGGCGGTGTGCATGTTTTAATTATTTTAAAACCTTCCTTTACAAGCAACTCAAGTTTAATTATTTGCACAACACTCGGACTCAATTTATAGATAGACCAAAATAAATTAAATTTTTTTAAAATAAATTGACAAAAGCTTTTAGAAATGTATTTTCATGATTACGTTTTACTAAAAGTGAAAATTGCCAAAATTATTGTTCGTTTTATTTTGGATCGATTAGATTTTTTTCGGGTGTAGAAAATTGCATTTGATTGGCCTGGGAGTAAAATAATGCAAACTTTGCAAAGTTTACTGAAAACTGCTGATTCGAATTCGCATACATGGAAAAATCTAATATGTGCGAATTAGATCTTTTTTGGTTCTTAACTTGGTTTTTTGCGCATTTTAGTTTTTAGAAAAGTTTGCACATGATTTATACTTTTTTTTGGTAAAGCAAAGAAAGTAAATAGTAAAGAAATCAACAAAATTTGGGGAAAATGGGGAGGTGATGGGGGGGGGAGGTAGAAATCTTTGCAAAGATTATTTGTTTGGTTCCGTGACTTATCTTATTTTTCTGGATTGAAAGAGAAGCCGCGAGTAATTTATCCCTCTATCTATCTATCTTGTAATTCTATCCTAATCTTACGATCCTGATATGTGAACCAAACTTCCTAATCTAAAATATCACCTTCCTAACTCAGGAAATGTGAACCAGACTTCCTAATCTAAAATATCACCTTCCTAACTCAGGAAATGTGAACCAAACTTCCTAATCTAAAATATCACCTTCCTAACTCAGGATATGTGAACCAAACTTCCTAATCTACAATATCACCTTCCTAACTCAGGAAATGTGAACCAAACTTCCTAATCTAAAATATCACCTTCCTAACTCAGGATATGTGAACCAAACTTCCTAATCTAAAATATCACCTTCCTAACTCAGGAAATGTGAACCAAACTTCCTAATCTAAAATATCACCTTCCTAACTCAGGAAATGATTTTCTAATCAACATTTAACCTTACAAACGTAAGATTTTTACTTCTAATCGTTCACTGGAAATTCCTTCTTTTCCAGATTTCCCAAGATTTTATTCGTAGATTTTTGTCTGTGATTTCCTAAATTCACATATTTGTTTTCTGACAATTACTCCGCTACATTACCGATTCACAACGATACTTTTTGCCCTTATCGGATTAAAAATTCGAGAATAATGTCGTTGTTTTTCTGTATTGAAAAGAAGTAAATTCTCTCAGTTTCCTTCATTGTCTGTGCTGCATAAAACTGCAATTAATTTATTTACAGAGATCTGTGATTCAAGAGGGAATTCGAGAGACAAGTCTAGAATAATATCGTTGTTTTTTTTGTACTGAAAAGACGTAAATTCTCTCAGTTTTCTTCATTGACTGTGTTGCATAAAACTGCAATGCATTTTTAAAGAGATCTATGATTGAAATTTATCAGATTTTAGAGAGAGATATTAATCTTTAAATGGAAGATGACTTGAAATTACGTTGACAGTCCTTTAATAAAAAATAATCAATTTTAAGATAGAAAACTGAGATTTCTCCCTTTTTTTCTTAGCCCAAGGTGTTAAGGACACCGTTGTGAATCGGGTGGGCCCCTCTTACTGCAGGGTCACTTACAACCATCCCTTAAAATCCTCTACATTGTTTTTTAATCAAGTATTTGATAAAAGTATTGTTATCAGGATTAAACGGTCTGGCACAATACATTGAGACCTCAAACAATTAAGATAAAGATAAAGATAATTGTCCCTAACATAATCATATTTTTCCTAATCTAGGATAGATATTTATAATCTTAAATATTCTGCATAACATAATCATAGTCTATCTAAGTTAGGATATGGTTTTATGCTCTTAAACATTTTTAAGATCTTATTTTAAGATTAATTAAAGGTTTAGAGTTTAAGATTTTCTTTCTAACAATCTTTATCCTTCTAACTATATATCTATCTATCTATCTATCTATCTATCTATCTATATCTATCTATCTATCTATCTATCTCTCTCTCTCTCTCTCTCTCTCTCTCTATATATATATATATATATCTTCTTCATGAACTGAGTTTACATGAAATAAAATCACGAACCAAGGGCCACCAAGATCCACCGTTACTTAACTATTTTATTCATGTGGAATAATCAAAGTATTATGCTTAAAAGTGATATTTAAGTAGATATTAAGTTTGTTTTGAAACTTTATGACAGAAACAATCTCAAGAACTGACGAGGGTCAACCCAGACCGAAATATATTTTCAATAAAATGTGAAACTAACATCTACTTTATGATCTCTTTGAGGTTTGGTCCAGTATCATCAAACAATTTTGAATATGTAGTCAATATCTTGAATTTTAAACAAGTAAACTTTAAACAAGTAAACTTTAAACAAGTAAAATATAAACAAGTAAACTTTAAACAAGTAAACATTAAACAAGTAAACTTTAAACAAGTAAACTTTAAACAAGTGAACATTAAACAAGTAAACATTAAACAAGTAAACTTTAAACAAGTAAACCTTAAGGAAGTAAACATTAAACAAGTAAACATTAAACGAGTAAACTTTAAACAATTAAACTTTAAGGAAGTAAATTTTAAACAAGTAAACTATAAACATTTAAACTTTAAACAAGTAAACTTTAAACAAGTAAACATTAAACAAGTGAACATTAAACAAGTAAACATTAAATAAGTAAACTTTAAACAAGTAAACTTTAAGGAAGTAAATTTTAAACAAGTAAACATTAAACAAGTAAACTTTAAACAAGTAAACTTTAAACAAGTGAACATTAAACAAGTAAACATTAAACAAGTAAACTTTAAACAAGTAAACTTTAAACAAGTGAACTTCAAACAAGTAAATTTTAAACAAATAAACTTTAAACAAAACACGTAAAAATTTAACAGGTAAACTTTAAACAAGTAAACTTCAAACATATTAACTTCAAACAAGTAAACTTAAAACATTTAAACTTCAAACAAGTAAACTTAAAACATTTAAACTTCAAACAAGTAAATTTTAAAACAATTAAACATTAAACAAGTAAACTTCAAACAATTAAACATTAAACAAGTAAACTTCAAACAAGTAAACATTAAACAAGTAAACATTAAACAAGTAAACATTAAACAAGTAAACTATAAACACAAAAAAACTTAAAACTATTAATTGATTAAATCCTGTGATTCCAGGTTGAAATATACCCTGATAGGTCTGGTTCTTATCCAGCCTGTAATGGTTGTTAAACACACTGCTCTAAGTGCAGATGGAGTATAAGTGTTGAACCCTCTGGCCTGAAATGGGTTTAATGTTTTGATAATACCGCGAGGCGCATGGTTTGGCAACATATAGACCCAGATTGATTTGATAGATTTGATAAATTCCATGATCTTACCCCCAGGCCTAGTTATTCACTCATATACTTCTATTCAATTCTCTTTTGAATGTGCTCAATACTTTTTCTGGTCGGATTCCATTCAATCTATTAAAGAAATAAATTCATGAGAAAATGATTACATAAGAACGGATTTATTTTCAACGATCAATGAACATTTTCTCATCTTAAGAATTCAACGTAATGCATAGAAAGATTTAATATAAAACAACCAGAATTTCGTAATAAGGTTTGGCTGGATCAGTCAGATAACAATTGAGAGTGTAACGGCAGGGTTGGAAGTTTTAGGAAATCTTAAATGTATGGACGAAGTGGCTTGTAGACAAGTATTCCCTGCATATGCATGTTTTTGCAGAATTTAGCTCCAGGTCTATCGTTGGATGGCATTGAATCTGATGAGTGTAGGTGTAGATCTATCCCTGAGAGAGATCTTGAGCTTGAACCCTGTACCCTGAAGGCACAAGAAACCATTTCTCAAAACATTATTGATTCCTTGGCTTTAATTCAGGACAAAACCTTTAATTAATTAATTTTAGCTCCGTATACCAGCTAGACCTAGGATATTAATAGATCCTGCAAGTTTCCAAGATGAGAACCAAGGATACTTATTGGATTTAAACTATTTCTTTATATATATATAATATAATATATAGTGGAAGTGCATTTATTGCTTCTAGACATAATTACATGATAAATAAAGAGTGTATAAAAGGAAAAGAAGTTGAGAAGGTCCAAGATCCGACACCACCGATTTGCGGATTTCATAATCCTCTTTCGGGGATTTCATCCTCTACAGAAGTCCCCCCTAAGTCTCGAGCATAGACAGAGTCGAGACTGATAATTATCTCCTTGTAAGTGTTTACGGAAAAGAAGTAGAAGGGGTTCTGGTGACAATAGATCATTATTCACAACTAGTTGTTTGTGAATTTCTAATCTGCCCCCTCACTCACGTTATGATCAACGTTGTGGAAGGCTGGCCAGTGGCCATTTAAAGAGATCAGTAGTAGTGAAGGTTAGGCGGAATAGATTTAGCATGTAAAGAACTGGCGTCCAGAATATCTACGAGTAGGTTAAAGATGGTAGATTAGTTGCTTGATAGCTGCAGAACTAGCTGTTTAGCTGATTAGCTCCTGGAGTAGCTGTAGCTAATGAGATTTAGGCGTAGCTGTAGCTGTGTAGGGGATTAGCTTCAGGAGGGTTGAAGTTTAGCTTATTAGCGCCAGGAGTAGCTGAGGTTTTGCTTTTTAGCTCCAGGAGTAGCTGAGGTTCAGCTTATTAGCTCCAGGAGTAGCTAAGGTTTAGCTTATTAGCTCCAGGAGTAGCTAAGGTTTATTAGCTCCAGAAGAAGCTGATTGTAGAAT